TCATAAAAAACGCGCTTTTAATATAAAAACGCCGAGTAAGTCGCAAAAAACGTGTTTTTAATAAAAAGTCGAGTAAATCGTAAAATCTTGCGATTAACTCGAGAAATTTATTAAAAACGACGTCAGATCAGGAAACGATCCCGTAAAAAGTCAGAAAACGGTTTTTATTGCAAAACGGCCCGGAAGGACCTAAAACGCGATAAAAACCCATCTCGCGATTTCGACGGAATCTAACCCGCAGATTTGGTAACGTTTTGACGGTTTACTCGCAGAAGAAAAATAAAAGTCAAGTTTAAAGATAAAAGGAAGGTTTGAAGAGAAATAGAAGATTTCCGCGGGAGAAAAGGAAGGATCGAGAAGAATGGAAAATTCCCAATTTAGTCAAATCTGGGCAAAATGGAAAGATCGGATAGCCAAGGCGAGGAGTATATAAATAGGAGGTCTAGGGCAGAAGCACAAAAACGAAATAGGAATATTTTTGTTTTTCTGTTAGCGAGCTGCGTCTCAATTAGGGTTTTCGTTCTTAAGCTTTTCGGCTACTCTTTTGTACCAGTTCTACGCAGATTCGGAATAAGAACCTCTTTGCTCTCTATTTCGTTTATTTTCATTCAAATTCTAAGTTATCGTTTTCTTATTTTTCGTTGTGCGGTTCTTGCAGATAGCCGGTTCCTCTGGAAACTTAGGGTTTTCCCGAAGTTTCCTTTTTTACGATTTATTTGACAGTGAGTGGATTTCGACATCCACACTCACCTGGTTTTTCAACATCCTTTTTGAGAGTCTTAGTAGGTAATTCTTTCCCACTCCTTAGGGTTATGGCTTTCATAGTCTCCTTAGGGTTTTGCTCTGATTTTCCAGGTAGAGATCCTTGTTGGCGATTTGAGTTAGTGTTCATGGAAGCAAACTGGTTCTCCAAAGCCATGAACTTGTTGTTGAGGTCATTGTAACTCACATCAATCTTGGCATGAAGGTTCTTCAGGTCATATCCAACATGCTTCTCACTTCTAGTCTTAGACTCCAAAATCTGTTTTGAGTAGAGCATCAATGTTGTTTTCCTGAGGAGTGGATGTAGAAGGGTTAGCTTGTTGTTGAGAATGTTGGTTCCCCTTGTTGGTGAAACCAAGAGGTGGGTTTTGTTGAGGCTGATAGCTGCATTGCTGATTGTTCCTCTGCTAATACCCTCCTTGTGGATAGTTGTTGTAACAGAAATTGGGTTTCTTCTTGTACTAACTACCATTGTTGTTGATGAAACACAGCTCTTCCTGACTTTCTATTTCGTCAACCTCATTTGTCACAGGTTGTGGTTCTTGGTTTGTGTTACCAACAAAGTTCAGCTTCTCTTGAGTGGCTTTTTTTGCAATGAAGATGTCTATCTTATCTTGCAGAGCTTTGAGCTCTTTCCTTGTCTGCTTGTCATCACCTCTACTGCCTTTTTCATGGTCTCCACTGTAGACTGCGTCACTCTTCACCATGTTGTCAACCAGCTCCTCTGCATATTCCTCAGATCTTCCCAAGAAGAAACCATTGCTAGCAGTATCCAATCTTGCTTTGTACTTAGGAAGAGCACCCCTGTAGAATGTACTCAACAAACTCTCCTTGGAGAAACCATGGTGTGGGAATTGAGCTTGGTAGCTCTTGAATCTCTTATATGCTTCACTGAATCCTTTCAAGTTCTTCTGTTGAAAACTAGAGATCTCATTGCTCAGCTTAGCAATTCTTGAAATAGAGAAGAATTTCTTCAAAAATGCTCTCTTACATTCATCCTAGGTGGTGTTGGAGTCACTAGGTAGAGACTTCTCCCACTGATGTGCCTTGTCCCCTAAAGAGAAGGGAATAGCTTGAGCTTGAAAGCATCGTCGGACACACCATTGGTCTTTGACAACCCACAGTAGCTAAAAAACTTGTCCAAGTGATCAAATGGGTCTCCATGATACTTGTTGTTCTCAACCACGTTGAAGAGTCCTGGTTTGACCTAAAACTTATTGGTCTCCACAGCTGGTATTCGGATTCCCAACTTATTGCCATGAAGGTTTGGGCGGTCATAGGTACCAATTGGGCTAGCTGGGCGCGGTGGGTGAACTGGCGGGTGTTATGCATGGTTGTTAACTCCTTGTGGTGGTTCTTCCATGTTAGTATCAAACCTCTGTTATTGAGCTTGTTGCTCTGCTTGTTTTCTCTGTCTTGCTATCTCTCTTTCAAACACCCGGATATCTGAAACTCTTGGAACAAGGTTTGTTGTGCCTTTGCCCTCAAGTTCATACACCTGAAATCTAAAGAGAGATGAAGATTGAGAATCAATAACAAAAGAAAAGAAAATTGACTTAGTCTCAAGCAAGTGATTAAATCTCAATGTTTAAATCTACTCAGAATTTGGCAATGACGCCAATTTGAAGTTAGGAGTTTTCAAGGCTCCTAAAAAAATGTTGTAGTATAAAAGATTGTCGAACCAATTCTAAGGGATTTTAAAGCACTGAGAATGCAACTACTGACTTAATCTAAGTGCAATCGAATAAATGATGGTTTTAAACTATACTAAGAATAAGAAAAATGATAACTAAAATAACTTCCTTGATTAAGAGAAAGGAGAACCCATGGGAGTAGGGATTAGATCTTGGGTGATCAAACTTCGAACTAAGGATAGCAAACGATCAATTAAACTATCAAATTTAAGCATAGACATATTCTCAACAAGCTATATATCTAGATGAATGCTCATTCACTAACATAACTCAACATCAAATGTCTTCGGTTGAATGTTATAGAAGTAATCTTTAAGAACAAGTCTATCAGCCATCTTAACACCTTTAACAACAAATGTCTTTGGTAAAGTATGTTAAAAGCTTAGGATACTTGACTCAGGCATTTCATCGAATACGTCGTTTTACCTATTTTTATTATCAAAAACATGTTGCTCATTCCAGTCGAACTTGAGAACTTATGACCAAATTACGAGGTTTCCTGCCACTGTGCTAGTGGCACTTTTATTGAGTATCAAATAAATCTTGAAAAATCTAAATTCTATTTAAAAATTTCTAAAAACCTTAAAAATTCAAGAAAATTCTGAAAAGGTAAAATTAAAATTGAAATTACAAATAATTATTATTTAAAAAAAAAATCAAAACATTAAAAATTTCAAAAAAAAAATCAAAAATAATTCAAAGAAATGCAACAAATTAAATTTAATGATTAAAAAATTGAAACCTATTTTATATAAATTAATGTATGTGTTTTACCTTAAATATATTAATTTATAAAAAAACGTCCAAAAATTTAAAAAATTAAAAATTTAAAAAACTTAAATGCAAAAAAATGATAATTAATGATTAAAATAACTTGAAAACTCTTATTTAAATGAATTCATGTAAGATAATATAAAAAATTATATTTATCACACTATTTATTTCGTATGATTAATGTATTTAAGATAAAATACACAAATGAGCTTAGATACATTAATTTTTATAAAAACAAATAATTATTTAATCATTAGTTTTTCTTGTTATCTTTTAATCATTAGTTTTCGCATTTTTCTGACTTTTATAAAATTAATATTAGCGAAAAAATAAATTTTATTTGTAATTTACTTTTCCATTTTAATATTTTCAGAATTTTTCTTGATTAGTAAAATAGTTGATTCTTCAAAGATTCTCACACTGTGCAACTTCAATTGATTACTGTTTTTTTTTTCTTCATTTCATCTTCGTGAAAGATCACATATTCTTTCATTGTTTGGCTATGTTTATGGTTATGTTTACGTTTTGAAACAAAAACTACTCTTCAGTGTTTCTTTTCTGATTAAAAGAGTTAATATTTTGATTTGTAGCAACAATATTATGAATTGTATTCTTATATATAGTTTATATGTTAAAAGGTCCTCTTTTGTTTTGCCCCAGGGCATATAAAATGTTTGAGCCGGCCCTGGTCAACTGTTTGTGTGCGACATGATCCCTTAGATTTCTGTCTGCTATAAAAAGGGAGAAAAAATAAAGAAAGAGTTTCTTGGTGGAGTGTAAATGGGAGAAATGTTGCTTGATTATGAATGCACATACAACGATCCATTTTTTTGCAACGTTATAATTAGAAGTTATTCGCGCTAATAGTGTCCACTAATTGTTGGGTTCCTTCTAGATGGAGGCAACCCATTGGATTTGGTTTGTGATAACCAAACTTGTAGTTTGGGCAAATGATATTTATCCATGAGATGGTATTAAATCTTGGTGATTTAGTGAGATACTATATAAGTCTCTTGACCTATTTTTTGTTGTAAGCAAGCATAACATAAGAAAGGAAATTTAGACAATAGAGAGAAGGAGGCAGAATTTCGTCTGGATTTGTCAAGGCGGATTTGGAGGGTCAAACGGATTCCTTTTGTGCTGATATTTTGTGGGAAGCTTCTTCAGTCAGTGGGTTTAAAGATTCACCGAAGAGATTTGAATTTCAACGGTTGGATCTTCTGTTGTCTCGATCTTCGTGAAGCTGGTCGTCACAGTTCTTCAACAGTGATGTCTTGAGTGTTTGGTAAATCTGACGGTGAGATCTTCTCTGTTTGAGCTGAAATTTGATAGAGGTGTTGTTGACTTGTTTATCTTGGATTTGTACGGTGGGATTAGTCTCTGGTTGCCGGAATCCTTGTGAGCTGAGGTCGTTTGGTTACTGCCAGTTTTAAAGCTTTGTGTTACTCTCTCTTGTTGTTGTTCTTGTATCGGAGATAACTATTTGTAGTTGAGTCTCTGATATGTTCAGATTGTTGAACAGGGAGGATGTGGTTGTACTCACATATATTTATATAATGGATTTTTGAGTGGACTACGGTTCCGTGGTTTTTCCTTCTCACATCGAAGAGGTTTTCTACATAAAAAAAATGCTTGTTTCATTTAGTTTCTGCTTATATTATATCATGCTATCGTCGAAATATTTTTCTCATAGATTCACACAAATTCAAGGAAACTTGAACACATATTTCGCTGCGCCGTGTCCCGTTTTTTCCCAACACAGAGCCAAAGTGTGAATAAAAGTTTGAAATAAATCGTAAAGAAGCACAAGGCTTCCTTTAATAATTTGTGTGTGTGTTTATACTAAATATATGTGGATAAGAGAAACAACAACAAACTCATGAGTAAAATGTCACACAAAATTATAGACTAAAAGGATGATATCTCTACTACACCTTTCAATAACTCAGCCTAAGGATTTGTGATAACTTTCTAATACAAACACAAGTGGTCTGTGTCGTCTTAGTAGCCACCCATCGGAGGCATTCNTGTGTGTGTTTATACTAAATATATGTGGATAAGAGAAACAACAACAAACTCATGAGTAAAATGTCACACAAAATTATAGACTAAAAGGATGATATCTCTACTACACCTTTCAATAACTCAGCCTAAGGATTTGTGATAACTTTCTAATACAAACACAAGTGGTCTGTGTCGTCTTAGTAGCCACCCATCGGAGGCATTCCTCGCATCGGCGGTGCGGGTAAAGCAAGTGGCGGTGCGGGTAAAGTAAGTGGCGGTGCGAGTAAAGCAAGTGGCGGTGCGGGTAAAGAAAGTGACGGTGCGGGTAAAGCAAGTGGCGGTGCGGGTAAAGAAAGTGACGGTGCGGGTAAAGCAAGTGGCAATAACCGGGCGTACATGTTCTGATTTCAAAAACAAAAATACCAGTTTAAAAGTTTATCAGTTAAGAAAAAGAAAAAAAAAAAGAAGAAGACATGCCATGATATCTGAGTTTAGCTGTGTAAGTTACCTGTTGGGACATGACATCCTGATTTTCCTGCTCTTTGGCCTTCACCTCTTTTTGTGCCTCCAGCTTGTCCTTGATTAGCTCATCCACTTTGCCCGAGTACTCTCGGATAAACTGCAAAAAGAAAAACACGATGAGAGATGAGAAAGTTCATCATTTGGCTCATATCTCTCATCAATAAGAAAATATAGAGAGTCACCTGTAGGAGATACGGGAAGGCAAAGTCGAGCATGTTGTGGATCCACGCAAGTTCTAGAGCAACGTCTGGTCGGATTAAATCATAACATACAAAGAGACATGTCGCAAAGCATTCCTTTTTGCCCTGTACAGTACGAGCGCAACATAACAACGAGCGATATTACTTTCATCTTCTTCCCCAATAGTTTTTCAGTTTATAGCTTTCAGTGTAATCCTGCTTCAGACCATCCATACCTGTTCAATGAAGTAAACCAACAGTTGTTCTGCAAGGTCATGTTCGCCGGATTGTGAAGCAGTTTCCATACAGTCTTTGTACATGTTATCTTTCTTTGACAAAGCAATTGATTGCTTCCATCGACCCGCTTTCTTATAGATATACGCAGCCACACGTCTCATTTCAACAAGCTCGTGTTTCTCGATCTGTTCGAATTTTTTTTTATATCATTCCCCCTAACATAAAGACTAAATATATAGAAGTGATATAAAAGCTTTGAAGTTTACCTTCTGAGCGAGGCCTATCTGGTCAAAACTGTCATGTAAATCAATAGACTCGCGCAACCTGTCATAGTCCTCTTCTTCCACGTATATCTCATTCAGAGCTTCATTAACCGCAGAGACATTGTTTCTCTGAACTGCAACCATGTATGGCTTGACAAGACGCAACTGACCAGCCTGAGATCAGGAAAAAAAAAAAGAGAGGAGATGGGATTGTTTGTTTAGTAAGACAGCTAGCTGGGCTGTTTTTAGGGGTTAAAAAATATTGGTCAGTTTCTAACCTTCCGCATAATATCAACAACACGTGTGTGATCTAACCGCAAAGCAAGCAGGTTAAGAAGATCGTTGATTAGATCAGGATGCTCCTGTAAGTAGAAGTGCACAGCCTTGTAGTACAGCTGGACATTTGCAACCTTGGCAACAATGTCTTTGAATTGCATGTGCTCCCACCCTTCAGGAGAATGGTTCATCACAGTGGTCGCAGCATTGTCAAACTCATCACATTGAATATAGAGATGAGTGAGTTCCTGCCAGTGCTGTTGTTCATCACAGGCCCGTATAAGTTTGGGGATATTGAGGCGAGTGGAGAATAACTTGATGTGTTCCATAAGTTTCTCATAACGATATCTAGCGTAGAGTACACCCAACTCAGTGAAGATACCCATGTGAGGACGCTCCAGCCCCAGTCCACTCTCCATAAGTGAGATTACTTCATTGAAGCACCCTCTGTTCTGGTAGAACTCGCTGACTTCTTCCAGGCCATCCACCTATCAAGCATCAAAAGTTATCCACGGCCCAGGATATTATTATATATGAGATACTACATTTGGGGGGGGGGGGGTATGATAATATCCTATATAGAAAGAAGAAGAAAAGGACAGGAAAGTTTTATGCCAACGATCCATGAAACTCAAAAAATTAGGTTCTTATTCACCTGAATGATAACGTTAAGGCCACAAATCTGCGCCAACCGGAATTCCTCTCCATCAACACAAGCAAAGCAGACTTCCTTCCATGTCTTAGCACTGTTTGCTTTCCTTGCAGCATCAACAGCACCTTGGAACTGTTGCAACTTAACAAGCGTGACAGCTAACTTGCCCCAGTTTGATATGAACGCATAGATTATTTTTGCAGCCTCATACAGAGCTTCGTCATACAGGCGATCACCAACATTTGGTAGGTTACCAAGGTTTGGCATCAGAATGAATTCTTCAATCTCACCTAACATATCAATCTTTGCATATGCATAGATGAGCTCACTATCAACCTTTGGCTCCTTCACCTTCTGTCTAACCATCAGAAGGTATCTGACCAAGTCATCATAGACCTTAGCATCTTCAGTAGAACGTATGATCTCCAAGAAATACGTGGCATCCTCAGCACGGATAAAGGATTCAATTGCATCACTGACTAGTCCTTCCCTGAGTTGAGCCTTTGCAACTTGGCTCCAAACAGAATCTTCTTCGACCCGCAAAGCAAACTCAAGAGCACGCTCAATGCTTTTGACGTTATCCAGCAATACGTTGATAGCCTGAACATTTGAGTTAAACTTCTTGAAAATAGCAAATGCTTCCTCATACAGTTGGGCTTCAACTGCCACTTCTCCAACAGCAGGTCCATCGAAATTGTCCAGCCTATTAATGTAATCAATAATTCTAGATGGATCTGCCTTAATAGCTGTTAATATAAGCAGATTTTGCAGATTTAAGCTTCCACTGAATTCCGAGTTTTGAAGCACTATTTTTTCCAGAAGCTCAATAAGCTCGTGCGGCAAATCAGCGGTCATGAATGCTTTAACAGCAGTGGCTACTTGCTCTGGGCTCTTGCTTTCGGGTAAAGCAGTAGACACAACTTGGTCAATAAGTTGTCTTCTATAATCATTGTTTTCATCAAGAACATTGTCCCAGAGATCACCATCCATCCTCTCCACTACATACCTACAGTTGAAAAATTCGTGTATCAGCAAACCACTCTGAAATACGAAAGAGTTTTCATAAGCAATGATTGAATACCTGGCTTGTAACTTGAACAAAGAATTTCTGTTGGTGACATTGACGAGTTCCTCATCACATTGTCCTCTTCTGTATGCCACAACAGCCAGGGTAGGATCACGTTTATCGCAGTACTTACCCACAACCCGAGAGTCATAGTACGGATTGGTGGTCAAGAAATGCTCGGGGTTGTTGTTACTGTCGATGATAACTTTACCCAAGGCATTATGAACATGAACATCTTGGCTTCCCTCGCTAACTAGATGCTCCAAGAACTGAGTGAGGAGGCGGAGTCGATTTCTGGAAAAGCAGAAACATATATTAGAGCTTCCAGAACAGAATTATGAACGGAAACCAGGATGACCAAAACAATTCACCTCTTTTCGCATTCTTCCACAAGGGGTTCAACAGGTAGCAATGAACGAACAGAGAGAATGAGGCCTTTGATAAAATCTTCAGGGCATTCATCATCAAGCAACTGTCCTACAACTAAGGGAGCATACCCAGGGTTCACCTTTGTACGGAATCACATGTATTAGTATTTTGAAATGCTGAACTCCAATGCATTTAAAAAAAAAAAAAAAAAAAAAGAAAAAAAAAGGTAGTCTCAAAATTCCATACCTTTTGAACGTAACCTTCAATGTAACGAAGCATGTTGTTTGTGTAGAGGTAATGAGTTAGATCAGGTACAAAGCCGAAACGGTCGCAGACATTTATCAAAGGTCGGGCATCAGGAAGCTTAGCTTCCATCAAAAAGTTCTTCGTCTTTTCAGCATCATAGAAGTTAGACTCTCTCGTCACACGCTCAACCTCCTTTATTTGACCAGTCTTAGCAGCTGCTTCAATGTACTTAAATTGAATCTCAGGATCCTCACTATTGCACAGAGGGAAAATATTGTCATCATCAATACACAAACACAAGAATCACGCTTGTTTAGAGGAATGCCAGTAGATTGTATAAATTACCTTATACTCAAATATGAACGCAGGAAAAAGTAAAGGCCTTCGTATGATTTAAACTGCTCAAAGAGCTTAATACATGCATCAACACCAAGTTGTTCACAGTACTCCTTGCAAGCCTACCATCATATAGACACGTTAGTGTCACACTTAACAATAAGATTCATCATACCATACACCACTTACCTGAACTACTATCTTCAGGTTGCCTCTAGGGTTGACCACCAAAAGATCCTTCATGCACTCAATAGCCCAATCGCTAGAAAGAGTACCGAAAAACTCAACAAGAGCCTGCATTTTGACAGTGATATTCAACAACGTGACATCCAGAAATTTAGCAATTAAATGTTATTTTAGAAACATTACCTGTGGCTCAATCGCATGTGTGTTCACAATTACACGTTTTATATCAGGTAACTCTGAGTAATGCTGCACAATTCAAAAAAAAAAAAGAGAGAGAGAAGAAGTTGGAGAAGGACATGTCATTAATTCTATTTGGCCGGGGGAAAAAGAAAAAAGCAAGACAACGAGCGCCACCTTTAAGGATTGGATATAAAGTCCAGCCTTTTCACAAAGTTGAGCAACACGAGGCCGGTCATAGTGGCTGAACATCCCAGTTGCTAAAACTGTATCAGCCACATTAGGAAAGGTTGCCAAATTGATCTCCAAGACCTGTTTTTGACATTTGATCTAAAAAGTCTGAGGAAAGGTGAATAGAGATTAGATAGCATACAAAAAACATTCAGATTGGCAACTATGTTCAACCTTAGTTTGCAGAAATGCATGCTCAGGTAAATTTGGTTTAAGCACATCCAAAAGGAATTCAGTAGCTTCTCGGATCAGATTTCTCTGGATATGCAAAATAAATAACATTAGCACTTGATATCGCTTATTGCCCTGAATAGAGTTTTGTATATCGTTGCAGAACAAGTAATGAGCTACGCATATTGGTGCACATGCAAATTTTCAACTACCTGAAGAAAAAGGTCAGTGATGGTGTTGAAGTCAAGTGGACAACCTCCTTTCATTTGAGACATTATTGATGCAAATTTTAATGCTCCCTGCAAAATTCAGAAGGAAACAAAAAAAGAGACTTGATGTTAATACGGGAAACTATTTTATCCATTCTAAATAACGTTAGATCAAAATTATTGAATACGAAGTTAACTGATTCATAACTAACCTGAGGGTCTGTGCGGAGAATGGTTTGAAGAAAAAACAGGTAATCAGGTGTGTACCCAGCCTAAATTCACAATATGAAACAATGATAATGTAAGCATAGCAGAGTCGGGCAGAATTTATATGTTGTTATTTACCTGCTCTGAGTAAATCAGTATACTGTCAAACTCCCTTCTTTCTGCAAAAGCTGCTACAACTTTTGGAGTTGCCCGGGCTTTGATATATATTTCCAGAGAAAGGTCATTATCCACAGTCTGGAATAGAGAGGTTTATGTCACAAAAGACTAACGGAGACATATCACAAACATAAAAAAAAAAAAAGAAAAAAAAGAAGATAGTCCATTTTTAAGATTACCTTGACAAGGTCTCCCAGTTCCTCACTGCATTCTAATTTATCCTCTTCTAACCAGTTTTTCAGGAGGCTCTTCTTGTTTTGATTCACAACAAGCCGAGATAGTTCCAATGACTCATATGAATTGAGCTTTCCTTTAGTTAAAAGAGTCCCAAAATACTGTAACAATGGAGGAGTTTGCCCAGCTTGTACAGGAACACTCTACCAAAATTTATCATGTGATATAAGTAGTTTCAAAGTGGTTTTACCGACAATAAATAATAGATAAAACATGTTGACACAAAATAGGGTTGCTTGAATAAGGAACAAATACCTGGAATTTGGACACTGTATCAGGTGTCCTTAGAAATGCCTGAGGAGATTCAGCAGCAAGCTCAGCAGCCTCCTTGTACTTCGTTCGAGCAAACAGCTCTTTGAACCGCTCGACAACCTGCAACATCCGAACTGAACATGAGAACCTTCACATACCCAAATAACTTTCTTTTTCTTCAAGCTGGCTGACAATCCACAGCTATAATCAGCTCAGAAAGATAACCATCGCATACCAGCTCTTCTGCACCAGGGAGGTTTCCTCTTTTAGCAAGATTGACAGCAAGCTCCAAATTATTCAACTATGATACAAAAGCATATTATTCCTTAGCATAACATGGTGACACGGGTAGCAAAAAAAAAAAAAGAGAATGGAACAACATACTTGACCAGTGATAAACGGTATTATAGTAGCCTCGTTCACTGTGGCCAAAAGAACTTGTCCTCGCCTATTAATGGCATAGAAACCCCCAACTGAAGAGGCTTCAGAAGTCAAGAAAATTGGGTCTGGACTTATTCGATTTCTGTAGACAGCAGACGCAGTTTCTAGATCGTATACAAACAACAACCCAAGCTTGGTGATGACATATATCAAGCTAAATTTGTGAGAGACCTGCCAGGGAAAAGGGGAATTCAGCGAGTCGAGAATTTTTCACCAAAACATAACAAATGTAATTGACATTCTAATGCAACTACAAACCTGCATGGCAACAGGGAAATCATCAGCAAAATCTGGGGGAAAAAAGAGATCCGCCTGTTTTTTTGTAAACGATGGTTTTCCTGCAAAACAATCACACCCACATTTAGACAATACCAACTAAAAAAAAAAAAAAAATTGACACTAATTAACGGTGACAATATAGCTTCTGCCAAGGATGCTAACCGGGTTGGGCACCTAGCTCAATGACGTGCAACTTTGATGTTATCTTCCCAGCATTAAAGCTCTTGCTTGCAAAGGAAATAAGGAAAGAAGGATTTTCGTTTCCAGGGACCTAATATCAATAATTTTGAAATTCATACTACAGTTCGAGATTGGACCCATAGAACGAACGAACTCGCTAAAGAAGCAAAGTAGTTTACTTTAAACTGAGCAAATGAGGCAGCGTGTGCTTCAAGGGCCTGGCTCCGCTGCTGATCCACAGAAAAAAGCTGCATATTTCCTTTGACTAATTGTGCTCTCTACAGACGACAATAATGATAAGATCAGTCAGAGAATGTACAGTGTTGATATCTTCATTCAAAACTAATATACGGCGCAGTAAACCTACCTCGGGAGGGCCAGGAGCAATTCCAATTAAAACCAACCACTTCTCATTAGGAGAGCACTTGTAGTTAATAATTTGACTGTTTGCCAAATTGGCCGTTATATCAAACATCTTAACTGGCTCCGAATCACCTGGAAAATTCGAAACAAAATTAGAATCACATACACGTGATAAGAAGATGGGAGTAAGCTAATGATATACAACCTTTAATAGACCAATGGTACACGGAATTTTGTGTGACCAGACCCAACTTCTTGGGTGTAATCCACTTCCAAAACACAACCTATGAAAACAATGAACGATTAATATCCCAAAAATAGATCCGGACGGGGGAAAAAAAAAAAAGAAAACAGAGTCTGAAGGAACCGTACAACAGGAAAGATAATGAATCTTTCCATCAAGACACACCTGCTCAGGCATCTGATGTGATTTCAGCTTTGCTTTTACTTCGATGTTAAATATCTGTAGATGATCCTGAGTAGTTCCTGTAACTTGAGCTATATACAAAAAAAAAAATGAAGAAAACAATGAACAACAAAGTAATGCAAAGCTTCTGACAGAGCAGAACAAACAGGTAAGATCATGGAATAAACCTTGTAAATGTTTGGTATGAAATGGGACAGAAAAAACTTACGTACTCATCTAACATATAAGTGACTCATTACAGCTGCTACAAATGCAGATAAGTAAACTAAGGCTGACTTGCTTAAACATGAAAATAATGTGGTTTTGAGTATCCGAAATAGATAGCAGCATACAAAGTAGGAGTTACCCAAGGCAGTTTTTTTTTATTTTTTTTTATTTTTTTTTTTTTGTAACACCCCAAAGGCAGTTTAAAAGAACAATTCAACAGGAAACTCTCGTGGGAATTATAACTGATAAGCTTCACAATGGAATTAGTCGGTCAAATTACCTTTTAAGGCAAGGATCCTAGAGTTTGGGTTCATAAGGGCAGAATCTGCAGTGATAGGCCTCCTCAGAGGCTGCATCGGCATATTCATATCAATAATTACAACACTGTTTTCTGGAGCCGTCTCTCGTACACATATATACTTGTCAGACTCCATAGTAACATTTGAAAACGTGATGAACTGCTGACTGATCCCAACGCTAGGAAGCTGGAAACAAATATTATCAAAACCAAGCGATGAGGTCAGATAGTTCGTTTGATCGGAGCATATCAACACACAAACACTTAAAATTCGGGATGCATTACAGAACATATATAGTAGCCATCAGAGAGTGAACGATCACGCAGAATTGGGAACAGTAAGCTACAAAATCGTTCAAAAAACTAAGCTCGATTCTACGAGAAGAAGAACTCACCGTGAGGACCTCCTTCATCGTGATGGGGGAGGTTGATGCCACCATATTAGACCACAGAACACGAGGCTAGGCTAGAAAACCGAGTGGGGAGGGGAGAGGAGGAAGAGTCAGATCTGTGAACGGCAAGAGATGATGAGAGACGAGAAAGTTTGAGAAGGAAATGAAATCGCTGACAGTTCTGAGCGGCGAGTGAGCGAGAAAAGTTATTCAAACTAGAAAAGAAATCTATTATTTTCGGAAATATATAGATACAGTCAGGAGTCACGCGACACATGCTGAGCTGTACAAATGCGCGTTTCCAATAAAACTAATTAATGAAAATCTAAAAGTAATATCTTTACCTAAAATTAAAGATTTTACTAGAGATTACTAACTAACTTTGGCTCTATTCGTTTGCGATTTATGACTATGGGTTGTTGCTTTCTTCGCTTGTAAGTTTTGCAATCACAAAGCGTTTATTTTTCTTTATAATTACTAACCACCTATCCATTTTTCTTTTTCATATCAATTTTTGCTTCTAACTGCGTAATGTTTAATTCATTTTCTGGACCATTGCTTTGATTTATTTGGAGGGGGGGGGTATCAATATATCTCTTATTATACTACTTCACCCTTTCATATTTTAGAGATGTCTTTTCTCATAACTCAGACCTTTATGCATGTCACATGCTCCTCTCTCTCTCTCTCATGATATAATGTGGGGTTTGCTACTTCCTAGTACAAGAGCTAATGAATAGTAAACTTATAATGAAATAATGACATGAAATGTTAATAAAAATGACAACAATGAATTGAAAGAGATTGAGAAAAAAAAAACAAGGAATATGAAAAGAGTGAGAGATAAAGTAAAAATGATTTACAAAATTCTTTTTGAAATTGTTTTGGGTACTAATTAATGTTGTTTGTGTATATACGCCATGCACATATTTATTCAAGGGGAATGTTTATGGTTATGTCACATCTTGATCATATCCTCAATCTCCCCCATAATTTCATCGTTGCAAATTACCACTATGGATTTTCCATACCAACTGCTATGTCTATTAATAGTGTCCTTAATTAATGATATTAACCATCTACGGACACAAAAGGGGTTACTCTGAAAACTACACTACAACTTCATTCATATTCCAATGTAAATTCACCAACAACTACTAGTCAAAGTTGATTTGAAGTGAATCTACAATCCTCCCGCCTATAAAATCCCATGACAGAAATCAGTTAAACTGAAGTTACGTACAAAAAAAGAGAAAGAAAAAGATCAGATAAAGAGAGAATTAAGAACGAAACTCATCCTAGCATATCAAAGGCAAGCAAATGTTTTCTCTTCACATATTTGTAAATGGGTCTAGAGGGGTTTTTAGAAAAGTTCAGATGATCGATCTTTGGGAATGTGCTTTATTCTTATTGGTTTTGATAATGGGGGTTTGTAAAATATTAGATTATTTTCAAAATGGGGGGTTTTGTTGTAATCTTTTAAGGAAGTTATATACAAATAATCTTTTGAGTTGATGATCATAGTCATATTTTCATATAGGTTTACGTTGAATCATGGTGTTGACACTGCCTGCAACTCAGGTCCCACAGTCAAGCGGTATGAATTTATATTCTGAACCAAAATCCCTCTCTCACATTCTACGTAGCTGATCCAGTTAATTTATTTTATTGTTTTCAAAATGTTGATGGAGGAGCAGAAGGGTTTTACACTGTCCACAACCCATTTCAGATAAGTGGGCCAAAAGGATACAGAGAAGTGAAGATACTAGAGAACGGAGACATGTATGTTAGGACGGACTTGCCGGGGTGTGACTTCGTGGACGTACGCATTGACTCTTTGAAAAAATCGGTGACTAGCAGAACTTTGGTCGCGTCGCCTTTCGATCCCATTGTCAACCCATATGAAAGCTTCACGCCGCGGTCGTACTCAACCACTGATCGGCTAATGTGTGATTGCTGTCGGATATCGCTAGTCAAGTACCACAAAATAACGGATGGCGTTCTAAGAGTAGTCATATCCACGACCCCCACCTCTGATCCCCAAAACAGAGGTACGGATTCTTATCAAGTCATTTGCGGTAGATAGTTTTCAACTCTTTTTAAATTCTTACATCTATTTTATTTTATTTTCATTTTGTTGCTCTCAAAGCGGGCCATGCAATTCTCAATAACACGGACCCAAATGGTAAGTTATTAAAATTGTTTGTATTACATTATAATATATATATATATATATATATATAGTAATGTTTTTGTTGTTTCGGATGATCTTTGTGGAGCAGATCCGAGGCTTACGGGTCTCATACCGAGCACGGGAAACCCTCACTTAATCCAAGGACATGGTAGTGGGGCTTATGAGTTCAAGAGTGTCACAGACGGTACCGCGTACGTACGGTTAGATATGCCCGGAGTTCCCAAACATTTGTTCAATGCCAAAGTTAATTATGGGGAACTGAAGCCGTGTAAGCGTTCACGACGTGAATCGACGGTGGTCGTGACCGGTACAGCTCCCGCCGTTGACCAAGACTCAGGTGATAGGGTATACTCTGCTATAGCGGCTATAGTCTACGATTCTACGGGTGCAATTCTCCTGGAGTCCGACCCGGAGAACGGGGTGATGCGACTAACGATCCGTGCATCTTGAAAGATGAAACCTCGTTGATCTCGGGACTAATTATGTGTGTGTGGGGTCTTTAAAATAATTTTAATCTTATGTTCGATGTTTCAAAGATGCATATATTAACGTCTTAATACTAATAATTTTATGACCCTAACTAGTATCATTCCCGATGTCTATCGAATTGCAAAGAATATTTACAAATGTATTTTTGCAATTAAAAAAAAAACAAAAAAACAAACTAAAGTACAAACTTGATTCCATTAATACAGTACTACTATTTTATCACCATCCAACAAAAACAACTAACAACTCCCTTTAATTTGTCCAGCCATAATTATATATTTATTTATTTATTCAACAAAGTATGCATCCATAGAAAAATAAAAGGAAATGAAGTACGAGCGAAACAGTAGTAGAATTAATGTTTCTTGCAGGCTGTGATTTATAAACAGTTAATTGTAAAATATGACAAACCAAAAGCGTTGACATTTTTTTGAATTACTTTTTGTTTTCTTTGTATTACTTTCTACTAGTCTACTACCGGTTCAACACATCAACCCATTTGTTTTAGCGAGTTTTCTTTTCTGATTCAAACAAAGCCAAAGAATGAATTGACTTTTGACAAAGACTAGAAACTCCAACGTCACAAGTCACAACTCTCAAATATTCGGTTTCCAGGAAAGTTCACATTTGTTGCCTATTAAAATTTAATCAGGTAACCAAACAAACCAGTTAAGTCAATGATTAAAAGCGGTTGTATAGTCTGACTTAATATTAAACTTTTTATATAAACAAGTTTGTAAACTCTCTGTACCGTTTATGAAAATAACAGTTTTTCATATTAAGAATCATGTTTCTCCTTCCACAAGACTTTATGGTTCATCTTTTTCATCTTAAAGTTTTGGAAAGAAACTCCGAGTTCTCAGATTGAACCACCACCAAAAGTCTTTTTTAAAAAAATGAAAAAGAAAATCCACCAAAAAGGAAGAAGGCAATTCACGAGTCTCCTACTAAAAGGAAAAAAAGTTTCAAGACACTTAAAAGGTGATGATGCATTGTTATCGGTGTGGTTTGGCTGGACACAGCTCATTATATTGTAAGAATGATGGAGTTTCTAACAAACCGATGAAAGTTTATCCGAGAAAGAAAACATCAGTAGCTGAGTCGATGTCAGTCGACTATGATGAAGCTCCCGGTCCCGGACCAAGTCAGTCTACGCAATGAGTAACTTCCGGTTTGCTTTTTTTCAAAACTTTTTGTGATTTTGTGAGATTATTGTAACATCGATAGCTGTTTAATTTTGGTCTTTTGCATCCAGGTTTAGAGTTGTGATGTCGTTTTAGCTAATGAAGCTTAAAGTAAGAGGCTTCTTAGATGTGATGTGAATGTTGGTTCTAGGTTCTAAGTGTCAACAGCTTCTAACGGTCATATTGGCGTGTTGGGCTGCTAAGTGATTGTTTACATATGGGCTAAAGGGACACGGAAGGTGTTTAATGGGCTGTGTCCGGTTAGTCTTGGCCCATTACTAAAGATTGCATAAAAGGAGAAGTCAAGAGAGCTGAGTTTAGTAGTCTTCTTCTTCGGCAGTTAGAGAGTAGATAAAGTTACTTCTGTAACGTCTCAAGATCTCTTTGTATCGGTCAATCACGTAGTGCATTCCGGGACACTGATCCTGAAGAGAGAAGTACCCGGTCCCGGACCAAGTCAGTCTACGCAATGAGTAACTTCCGGTTTGCTTTTTTTCAAAACTTTTTGTGATTTTGTGAGATTATTGTAACATCGATAGCTGTTTAATTTTGGTCTTTTGCATCCAGGTTTAGAGTTGTGATGTCGTTTTAGCTAATGAAGCTTAAAGTAAGAGGCTTCTTAGATGGGAGGCTTATAAATGTTGGTTGTCATTTGGTGATGAAGTTTGAAGTACGTGGCGGCTTTGAGATATTTTTCTTCTTTTGATTTTTAGGTGTGTTTGAATTGTTATAACATTGTCACTTTTGTATTTCATCACGTGACATTAATTCTCTATTTTGTGACTTTTACTATTATGGCGTTGTCTCATTTGAATGAGCTAGAATTTGTGTTCGTAGTTTTTTATTCTCCCCAGCATCCCTTTTGCTCTCGAGAATATGTTTATCAAAGGCCTAATAACTAACAAACGATGTTATTTTATGTTTCTATGCCTACATATTATATATACTAGGAAACAACCCCGCGTGTGGAGAAAAAATGTTTAATTTTTATATTTTAAAGTTATCTATAATTTATATTAGTTGCTTAACCATTTCGAATAATTTAATAAACTAATTACTTTGTATTAAGATAAAAATTAAAAAATAATCTTATATAACAAATGTATGAAAGTATAATTTGTGTTTGAAAATATACAAATTTAAATATATAATTTTGCTAATGTCATGTAATGTATACAAAAGTAAAAGTTCTTGGTAAACATAGCATTTTAAGTAAGAAAATCATCTTCGAATTTTTTTTTTCGTGGCCATTTTAATTCTTTTGTGCTCTCCTTATTAAGTTTTTAATAACTTATTTGCTTTGTTGTAAATTTTTTGGTGTTTTTGGTACTTTTTTTTCCTCGTCTTATTATCTTTACAAGCTTTGGTTTCTTCTTTTTCTTTAGTATCATCAAGAGTAGACTAATAAATTCAAAAATTAAGTTACCACTTTTTTAAAAAAAAAATATTTTTTACAATAATAATCTAATTCAAATGAATGGTACCTCATCTATAGTAATTGGGTTGCATGTGATTTATGTAACAATTAATCTTGTTGAACTTGAATTAATATTTAAATAATGTAACTTTTAAATTGAATTTAAAAACTTTTTCAATAATTCCTTTAGCAAGGTATGAGATAATTGCATTATCACTTGAATCATTGAATGATTGTTCCTGCATAAAAATTTACAGCAAATCAGGATAAATTTTTTATAGTATATTAGTTATCTAAGTACGACACTTACATGAAATTTAATCAAGTCTGTTGCTGATTTATCCATTATTCTAGTCATGTCTTTACTACATGTGGTTACTAATGCTGAATCTGAATCATCTTCTACAGTAATTTCCAGCTTATACCTATTTTTACATTTGTGTTTGGTACTAATAATTAGTTAGTTATCAAAACTCAAAAAATAATAATATATCAGTTAGCGTAATATGCCAATAATATAAAGCTTTGAGCATTTTTTGCAAATTAGTCTCCCTTCTTTTTTCCAAAGTATTTTAACACAATAATTACAAGATATGTAATTACATCCATTTTTGAACTAACATCAATAATTTTTCTTTCGATGGTGAATTATGTTTCTTGTTAATAAATGATATCTTCACATTTTTAAATTATGTAAATAAATATAATACTTTTTTGGTATTTAAGGTAATTTGTAAACTACAAAGAATTAATAATTTTTTTACATCAAACAAATGTTTGTCAATGAAATTGATTATATATGATATTTTGACAATATTATCATTTGAATTCTTTAAATTACATTCATCCATTTCTTGTATTGGAAGCAATCTGTGTACACCACTTTGCACAGTGTAGAAGATACATTTTACGGATACAAATAGCATTATTTTTTATAAATATGGTAAGGTGAGTTACAAAATATTCTAAAAATATTTAGAAATCTTTATACTTTCTTAAAACGTGTTTCAACTTATTTTATTGCCAAAAATAATCATAGTCTAAATTTTTTAACTGTATATAAAAGCATTTAGAATGAAAATGGTGCATAATAATGTTATTTTGAAATGTACTATGTGTTTGTTATAAACTGGATGACTGAAATTAAAATATTTATTTGGATAGAATTTCTACCTTTGCTAAAATGTTTCTACTATAAACTTCTTATTTTTAGTAGCTTTGTAACTTCATGATGAACTAATATTATAGAAAAAGTAACACAATTGAGCTGGTTTATTCAAAAATAATGTTTCTTCTATTGGTTCTTGCCATTTTGTTTCTCTAATAGATGTATATATGTGTTTCACTCGATATATTTTATAATCATTTGGAATAATAAATATCTCTATCTTTTTCTTTCTTGTTTATTTGTTTCAATGATATTTAATGTTTAATTTCCATATTTGTTGAAAGTTGAATATAAATAACATTTTACGCAGTTTACTAATAATTTATTTATTGTAACAATCCAGTAAGTATTTTTTTTTTTTGAAACTTCATTAGCAATAATCGGTTAAAATTGAGATTTATACTTTCTCAATAATTTAAAGATTGTTTCAAATTTTATTATTTTCAAATAATTTTGTTAAAATTCGTTTAAAATTTTATTAGTTTTAAAAGTGCTATTAATACTTTTTCTTTCTTTAATTATTTTTGTTTGTTTGTTGTTGTTATGTATGTTAAAGTCCACAACCTTTACATTTTTGTCCACAACCTTTACATAGTAAATAAAATTTGTACTGTTTTGGTCACCAACCATTGCAATGTTTAATCATCCAAAGTTACAATTATTCAGTAGTTTAGCAGTTGTTAATTTTTTTGAGCAGTTGCAATATTTAATCATAAGAGATTACAATTTCCTATTTTAATGGTGTTAGTGTGTTTTGAAAAACTTACAATGTTTCCTTGTACCGGTTCACTTTAAATTGCAATTAATACTTTATTTATTGTAACAATCCATTTAATGTATTTTTGGAAACTTCACATTAGAAACACTGGTTAAAAATAAGATTTATAGTTTCTCAAAAATTTAAAGATTGCTCCAAATTTATAATTTTCAATTAACTTGTTTAAAATTGTTATTAGTTTTGAAAGTGCTATTAATACTTTCTCTTTCTTTAACTATTTTCTTGTTTGTTGTTATGTTTGTTAAAGTCCACAACGTTTTACATAAAAACATTATATTGTTTTGGTCACCAACCATTGCAATATTTATTTATAAGAAGTTGCAATTGTTCAGTTTAGCAGTTGTAAATTGTTTTTGAACAGTTGCAATATTTAATCACCAAAATTACAATTTTCCTTTACAATGGTCTTAATAT